CCTTCGGCTGATTGTCCTCTAACGGCAGCTCTTGACCAGGCAAGGGCTGGATTGGTAAAACCAAGCTGTCGTCAACCTAGGTAATAAGAATAGGGGAGGAAAAAAAGAGTTGTTTTATGCATTGGCTGTCATTTTTTAAAAGTTTCTTTGAAGGTAGTTTAGACATTTCCTAAATACTTTTCCTAATATAATAATATTTGTACAGCGAGTGAAACACCAGGCTAGAAAATGGGGTAAATATTTATGCTGTTAGGAGGGTTGTAATGTGAGGATACCTTGTGATGTGGGGTGTCCTCCCCTGACACCTCCTCCAAACTGAAGTCCTGTGAGGAGACGGCAGACGTCCGGGCCTCTTGGTGCAAACCATTGCCAGCAACATAACAGCTAAAGTACCTAAAGGATTGAGGGGGAAAAAAAAGACAATTTCATTTTAAGGTTGTGCCTACATTAAAAGAATAAAAACCAATTAATGTCACAATTATGTCACAAATTGTAAATGCAACGAAATGTGATGATCTTATAGTTTCGGTTGACTCACAATTTTCTAACTCAAAACCGAGGACTGTTATGTACTCTTGTTTTCATTAAAAAAATTAAATTATTTCAGTTTATTTCAATTTATTTTCTAGATGTGTTGTGTATATTTGAAAGCAAGAGGGCATTACTTAATTAATCCAGGTACAGTTGCAGCATAATGTAATCCCTGGGTGCACATAACACAGATAAGCACAGTTTATCTCTTATCGCACACAAACACGCTCCTAATTTCCATATTGCTCAAACAGAATGTAGAAGCTTCAAACTAGAATTTCTTTCTGATCTGAAACGTATAATGTGTGTACGTACACGTATATTTTGAGTGTGGAAAGATATTGCTAGCAAAAGTAGAAAACAACCCGTTGTGTATGAGCGTATCAAAAATCACAACTAGCATTTTTAATTTTAATACCCTGCTGCTGCGTAAGGCAGTACCAGTACAAAGGTTACGATGATAAACCAATTATAAAAATGATAAAAAAAAACTAATTCCTGTTTAGGAGCGCCATTCCGCTAATGCAGGCGTGGACAAACCTTTGACTCGCGGACCACAACTGTCCTAAAATTTAACAGGGGGGCGGCGGGGTCAGGAGCGTGAACTAAGATATAACAAGGGGGGCGGGGTCAGGAGCGTGAACTAAGATAAATGACATATAAAAGTCATGCATAAAGGCTAAAATGTTAAAATGTTAAAATCATTTTCTACGCCCTCTATTGGGAAAACGTGGGTATTGCAGGCAGAAAAGGCAGAAGAACAGTATAATGATAATATAAATCAATTATATAGTTTGGGAATGTTTGGCGGGCAGGATTCAAAAGCTGAACGGGCCGCGTTTTTGGACCTTGGTTTTCAAGAAAAAAAAAACAAGGCCATGTTTTTGGACCTTGGTTTTCAAGAAAAAAAAAACAACAGTTGAAAACCTTGCCCAGGGTGAGAGGGATTCACTGCAGAAACTAACAACACTGCTGAAATAATAAATGGGATTTCCACAGTCCAGGGACTCTGCAAATTAATCGCTATAATCCAGTATTTGGTCATGGACCATTTTAGAGAGCAGTAAGGGAGCAGAAAGGGTGTACTGTACAACGCCTTTCGCAAAGCTGGCATTCTGACAACTAACAAAATAAACAAATAAGCTCCTTGTGGTTTTGCACCATGGAAACATGCTAATATGGCTTGTGTATTTGCCATTCTGGAAATACACAAGCTAAGTGAACCTAAACAGGAAACAGGCAACGTTAACAGTGTGATGGTCACTTAAAATGAAGGGATCAGGTCTGTCGGCCATATAGATTTTAATCCCGGAATAGAGCATTTTCTACATTTCTCTTTATCCTGAGTAGTAGTGGTGGTAGCCTATCCTGTAACATCGTGGCCTTAACCTATAATCAAGCAGCGTAATCGTCCTCCGCTGCCTCTGCTGAGCTCAGTTACACACCAACACCATGCAGCAAGCCTCTGAGAGAGCTGAACGTGAAAGGTCTTTTTAATCCTGTCACATCGTCAGCTAACATTAGCTTTCTCCTACGCTGTATATAGGTCATGGGAGTCTGGTGTCAGTGAGGTATGGCGGTCATATGAACAGTTTTGTTATAACAAAACATGTTTTTCAATAACATTTGAGGCTACATTCAAAGCATGGACAACACTATTTGACATGTGCATACCACCTACATCACAGGGGGTGTTTAAAGAAGATAATATTCGACAAAACATAACAAAACTATTGTACTAGATGGGCTTTCAGTGACTGATCATCATAAAAACAATACAATTTAATACATTGGGATTTTTTGATTTACACTTATTTCTGAAAGTCTTGTGTTATTTTTAGTCACTGTCCAAAGCTGTATTTCCTCTTGGGGATAGGTATAGGAATAGGAGTAGGTAAATGTATGTTTATTTTAAATATAATAATTATATATATATATATATATTTGTTTAGCGTTAACAATAGGAAAATTAACGAAACTCAATAATGGTTTCACAAAAACGACGCAAGACAACATATCAATACTTAAATATATGTGATATATATATATATATATATATATATATTTATATATATATATATATATAATGTGATATACACTATATATATCACATTTTATTTAAGTATCGATATGTTGTCTTGCGTCGTTTTTGTGAAACCATTATTGACTTTCGTTAATTTTCCTATTGTTAAAGCTAACGTCCCTACTAATTGTTTGTATGTACATTTAACCCGTCTTCTTTTGAGAAAATAAGGCTGGCAAAAGCTTTTTTTTTTTAAATTTTTTATCACAAAGACGGCAGAAGAGTTGAACCTGAGCTTGTTTGCTGTGACAGTGCTAAGCTCTAATCTTAACACTGATAAGTCATGTGTCAGCCAGGTGCCACATCACAACTGTGGGAACGGCAAGTTTGCCATTGCGTTAAACATGTTAACCTTCAACCACCGTCAATTGAAAAAGGACTCATGTTAAAAGGTACAGTGTATTTCACAAAACACCCAGACGACATTGATATATAGCGTGTTTACCCAACTTACCAGTTGACTGCAGCTATACAGATCCACACCGATAGAATTCGCCATAACTGTGGTGTCATCTTCATCCCTGTCCTGTCGGAACAGACATCCTTGTCGTACTTTTTATACGTCGTAACCTTTTTCGAGTAGCGGTTTCCTCAGGTGTAACTGTGAACGCCACAAAACTAGCCGACGTTTCCCGTTAAACTCCCTAAAGCTAATAGCCGCTCTGCCTTGTGATGCTAACTGCTGTCCTGATATCGCAAATGTGACTTCAGGGTCCGGCTGACCAATCAGAAAGACCACCACGGGTGACGCGATTAAATGACCAATCACAATTCGAAACGGATATTACGTATTTTAAATCAACAGAGCGTGTGCCGGAAGTGCTTGCTTTATCCGCTATGGTCACCCCGGATTACGTGATTTTTAAAATTAAACAATTGAATTTAATTCAATTAATTTAAAACTTACACAGACAGTCAAATTATAAGACAGCCTGAACATAATTAAAAAAATAAATACCAAAAATACTGTTTCACGGCAGTAGTTTTAAGTGCATACATTTCAGTTGTCGTTTTGTTGTTGTCCTTTAATAAAATATTTTATTATTAATTTCTTACTTCTTAGGAATTATTGGACTAAGAAATGCTCTTTCGCAAAGGAATATGCACACAACTATTCATAAAAACCTACCTTTATCAGCCTTTCATCTGTGCACAGAAATCAAAGGCAAAATATTGATATTCATCATTTGCTACTATATTAAAATACGCGACAGAAATACACTGTTAAATGAAAAAATGTCCTTAAAAATCTGTGTTGCCAGAGGACATGGTATCATTTCGTATTACGATTACAAAAATGATACATGTTAAAAATAAAAATAAAAAATGCAACGAATGGGCCATAGCTCAAACAATACTCAAAATGCGCAGTTGTGTTTTTACCACTAGGATACGCCATTTAATGAGTTTCTTAACACCTTTCGAAACTGCATATAAGGCAGGGGTCTCAGACTCGCGGCCCGGGGGCCAAGTGCGGCCCGCAGTACAATATTTTGTGGCCCCTCACCTTAAAATGAAGGTATAATATCAGTGTGGCCCGCGGAGAAAGTGGGCTTCCGAAGAGCCAATCAGCAAGCTCCCGCGCGCCGTCCCTTGTCGGGGCTAGGCTAGGCTAGGCTACACCAGCTTCGTGCACTTCACGCTTACAACAACAGCACGACGTGTAATGAACAGCCAGACAGCAGTCGCCTTTGCTCTTGCCCTCTATCGTACTTTCTACCACGAATGTCATGATGAAGCGCAAAAAGAACGGCGACTGTTACCGGGTTGTTTATCGTGTACGCTGCTGTTACAGGTAGAAGCGTCTCTTGCTCTGGCTCGAGAGCGGGAAGCGCTCTCCCGGTTAAAGGACGCTCCGTCACAAACCGGAAATGACGCCAGGGGCAGCGCTGCCTATGACAACGTGAGAGCATTCTCCACAAAACTTGTGTTATGGAAAGCCCAACTCTCTCAGACAAACCTTTGCCATTTCCCAGCATGCAAGACACTCGTGGATGCAGACACACCATTCAGAGAGAAATATGTTGATGATATTTTGAAGCTAGACAGACGGATGGATGGATAGAGAGAGCAGTGGTTCTCAAACTGGTACGCGAGCGCCCTCTAGTGGTACGCGGGGAAAATTCATATTTTTAACATTTACATTTTCAATTGAATAAATCTGAAATATACCATGCACAATTAATACAACATTTAGAAAAAATAAATATGCAGCTACTTGTGAGATTATGAAATAGGATGTCTGGTCGTTTTTTTTTGTTTGTTTGGTTTTTTTTCCTGCAATGCAAATTGCATTTTCTATCACTACCACAAATCAGGTGACGTGTTGAGGAAGAAGTTTATTGAGGAACGATACAGAGACACAGAAAATAACCCCCTGATGCCTTTCTCCCACTGTAACATTATGACCTCTGTGAAACAATACTATCCTGAAACAGCCTCTTCTCAATTCTGCATTTTGTTTTCTAACACTCAACTTTGGCAATATAGATTTGTTATTGCTGCCATTAAGGCAGTCTACAGAAAAGAGAGAATGCCTTTGATGAATACGGCCTACGGACGATCAAAGCGCCGGGTCTTTGATGGTGTTTTTAGTGATCCACAGGTACAGTAT